TATTATTATTATTATTATTATTATTATTATTATTATTATTATTATAAGGGATGTTTGCATAGTTATGTGGATACAATTTCAATGACTTACCAAAGAAAAGACGCTGCACTCATGTTCCTCCGAGTGACGGCTAATGCTTCTGCAGCAGGTTATCACTTGGCATCAAAATAACAACTTCCAAAGCTAGAGCCGAGTTGTGACCTGTGCTGGTTTAGTGTTTCTATCCCCTCCACCCTTCACTGCTGTCATTATTGACCCAAGTTCAAGGGAGATTATCACATGGGATTACTGACAGGCCCTGTCTTTCATTCCCAGCACACACACGGACACACACCTAAAAGTGATTAGTAGATTCAGTTTGGTGGATTGTTCAGCAGACGCCGAAGGACATTTACATCACAGCCACGTGCATGCTGCTGTAAAATTGGCTTTAACAGTTAACAGTGGTCAGTGGCTGTCAGAAGCACAACGAGCTCACAACATTAGATATTTTTCCCCTGAATACATCGTTTTATTTGTGCATAGAAACAGCCTGTTTGCATTTACCATTTGTGCTAGCATCGCTAGTTACATAACAAAGCTATGTGCAAAGTGCAGTAAAAGGTTAGCGACTTTATATCCACAGCATGCTGCTTATGGTAAATGGTAAATGGCCTGTATTTGTATAGCGCTTTTTACTAGTCCCGCCTAGGGACCCTAAGGAGCTTTACACACCCAGTCATCCACCCATTCATACACTGGTGAAAGCAAGCAACAGTTGTAGCCACAGCTGCCCTGGGACAGACTGACAGAAGCGAGGCTGCCATATCGCGCCATCAGCCCCTCCGGCCAACACCAGTAGGTGCCAGGTGAAGTGTCTTGGCCAAGGACACAACGACTGAGACTTACACACACTTCAGACATCTTTCTGTCAATAGTAAAGACTGTCCCGGGGTCAAGGTGAACTTGGCAGCCTCACAGCGAGGCTGTTTCCTGCTTTATTTTGTAAGGTCTTGTGTTTCCTTGTTCAGTGTGTTTAGTTTCACTTCCCCTCCAGCGTCATGTTAATTTGTGTCAGCTGTGTTTCCCAGGTGTTTTCACTTCGCTCATTCCCTTCTGTGTATTTAAGTCCTTCCTCTGTTCAGTGTCGGTTTCCCTCCCTCTGTCACGTCAGATTTCAGATATCTCATGATTGTGTTCAGGTCACGTTCATGTTCATAGTTTGCTCAGAATCATGTCCATGTCTTGTTTGTCAGTTTTTCCCAGTTTAGGTGTTAGTTTTAGTTTTCACCCCTGTTCGCTTTTGGTTTCACCTAAATTCTGTGTCTGCGCTTAGGTTTGCACCACACACCAGCTGTGACATGCATGTGTATTTGTGTGTTGAGAGGATTTCAATTATCCAGCAAACATTTAGCAGTAAACAGCAAAAAGTCCTCATCCAAGAATTGGAGGTATGGTGGATGGTGGTGCACAAATTCTTCCATATATATTCACAGTAATCCACTAATTTTAGATTGCAAATAATAATGTTTTCAAGTCCTGAAAAACCACCCAGCAGGCCAAGAATTATGCCTCCCTGCCTCCATATATATGGATGTCTTACAATGTTTTTGATAATGTTTTTCATCATTTAATTCTTTTATTTGATTATATTGTCCCTCTGTTCAGCACTTTGGCCAACACTCGATGTGCTTTAAATGAGACATTATTCTTTACAGACCTAAACGTCCTCATTTGTAGCCAGCCTAGGTTTTTGTTGAACTTCATTGAATCTTGAACTTCAGCATCGTTAGACGTCTGCAATGTCTTCTAATGAATATTTATGACAGTGAGAGGTCAACATCATTATACCTCACTGACTTTGAACCGTGTTCTAGTCATTCAGACTAGAAGCAATGAATAGATTGTGCAGCCATCTTTCATCCAAAGCTGTGCAGCTTAGCTTAACAGCCAACAGAGTGGTGACTACAGTGCAGCTCTGTGATTGAAACCTCATCAACAAACTTGTTTGGCTCTCACATTTATAACTTCATGACTTGATCGACTTGTCCAGCGGAGTTATTAAGAATCTCCTGCCAGAGACTAACTGAAATGAATTTGAACAATGACATAAGTCCCCCCTAAATCTTCCCCCTCGGTCTTTCTGCCTCTGTCTCTAAAACATTGCAGGATATTGATGGTGTAATCCACAGCAGGGCCCTGTTTGCAGCAGTAATCCATTCGCCCTTTTCGTCATGGTTATTTTTATGGCCATTTGGTTTTCAGCATTTCAGCAGTCTTAGCGTTTTCAAGGTATTAGTTGTTAAGTAAAAGCAATTCAGCTGGAACATCATTTAGAGCTTTCATGTCAGGTTTGAAATATGGTTGATAAATCAGACAGAAATATAAGCGTGATACACAGAGAGGATTTATTATCAGGGATGTTTTAGAGGGACAAACACTGGCCGGTGAGCTTGAGCTTGTACTGCATGTATAACCTGGACTTTACAGATGTCTGACTCATAAGAACACCTGTGATTGTCCAAGTAGCTGCTCTGTCTCAGCGCACCTTTCTAGGTTTTTCCATAGTATGTGGGCAGCACTAACTGTCAGGAGCATTCATGTGAAATGTTCACTGGCAGGGCTTGTTTTTCATTGGTTTAACAATTCCTAATAGCCCGCACTCAAATGTACACGTATATATGTCTTAAAACACTTGAAATAAATATAATCTCCAACTAAGTTTGATAAATGACTGATGCTTTTTCAAGCACCCTTGACTCCACCTAACCCATAGACAGTGTTGGGGAGTAACGGAATACATGTACCGCCGTTACGTATTTAGAATACAAAATATGAGTAACTGTATTCCGTTACAGTTACCGTTTAAAAAGGTGGTATTCAGAATACAGTTACTTTGTTGAAATAAATGGAATACACTGCGGTACTTTCCTGTTTCATATTGTCGCGGGTCAGGACTGTTTGGGTTTGTTTGACAGCTACGTTCTGTTGTTCCAGGCGGCAGCGTTACGGTTGCCATGGTTACAGGGCGACGCTCTCTCTCTCTCTGCGACTGTGTGTTTCCTGGGTGAGAGAGGCCTTTTCATTGTTGTTGTTGTTGTGCTAAGCTAACAGGCAGAATGCTACAAGCATAGCTCTAAAGAATGTAGCATCATGTTCAGTGTAGTCCGTGTTGCAGGGAGAATGAACTGCCATACACGTTATGTGTCTGTGAGCGCGAGGAGGGAGAAAAAGGGGAGTGGAAAGGTACGAGTTGTCATCGAGGAAAAACGGGAGCTGGAAGCATGTAAATATAATAATAACCACTGCAGCCAAGAAGAGAGCCTGACGAGCCCAGTTGTAAGTAAGCTATTAAGACTCGACTGTACACCGTGTTCGTGTTTTCCTCCGAAACAATAAGTTCCGTTGGAGCAGTCTTTCAACGCCTCGCTCTGTCTGTCACAAGAAAAGTTGACCCACACAACAAAGTAAAGCTATTTTTCGGCTACA